AAAAACCAAAAATCTAGGGTTGCAATCGAGCGGCTATTTGGGAAGGGCGGCAGTGCCGCCAGGCTTTCCCTTCTTTCTTTTCTTGTGTTTTTCCCTTATTGGAGTCTTTTTATTGCAGTGTGAGAGAATTAGGATTCTATTTTAATTTTGTTTCAGCTTCTCCCTTGGAGTCTCCTTCTCCCTTGCTAGGGTTGCAACCGACAAGTGGTGCTTTGGTTATATCATGCTCTAAGGTGGTGTTGTATCCTCTCTTATCTTCCTCCTTACCCCTTCTCCTTCACCTCCCTTAGCCGCATCTCCTTCCAGCTGCTCTGTTGCCCCCTTCAACTACCACCAAGCATGTTGTCCAGCTTACCCAATTCACCTCCCAGCAACCTGTTATCCCTTCCCGTTCAACCGCCATTGTTGTCTAGTCGTCCCGGCCACCCTCCTGCATCCAGCCAACCTCCTACAACAGCACTCTTTGTTGTTTGCCTCGTCCCTCCATCACACAGCATCCTTCCCTACCGACCCACACTTCCAACCCTCAAACCAGCCCTTCATTCCAACCTATCCAACAGCCCTCAACCCTTCCACCGACGCCACCACCACCCTTAGATATTCACTTCTGGCCTTGGCCGGAGATGGTTTTTGTTGTGTCTTGTTTCTGTTTCGAGTTGTTTGTAAACCTAATTTAGTTGCGAATAAAAGTTTGCTTCCGTTTCGGCTCATTTATGAACAAATTCCGGTATCAAAATCATATCAAAGCAATTGAATCACGCATAAACATTAAGCATAAGTGGGACAAATAAGTAGAGAGTTTCAAGAAATTGGTGTTGATTACAAAACAACTTAGCTACAGATTATTTTTTTTAAAAGAACTCATTATTACTAGCTGTATAAAATTATTTGATGAGAGGTGATTTTTGAAAGGTACTTCATATTCAAATGTTGAGTGCGTAGTTGGCTTAATTAATTTTATTCAATCAATAAATAGTAAAAAACATAATTTTTTTAAGAATCCCATTAATATGAATAGTTTTAGGAAAGTTAATTTTACGTTGACAGTCAGTAATGTTACAATAGTGTAATCAATATTCTACGGTATAGACATTGTGATCACCATGGAATACTGTAAGTAGACATTTGAACGCTTGAATTTTGCAAGCCACGGAAAGCCACTATAAATAAATTTTTACATACTGAAGCACAAAAAAAAGAGAAGATAAATAAAAGATAATCCAAGCGGTTGGAACATGAATGGAGAGAGCAGGAATTGGGGCATACCTGGGAATTCCAGCGCATAGATTTTGAAAATGTTATCCTAGATAAAACATTTGGAAGATCCTCAGCCAAAACCTATGCAGAAGTTAAAGGCTCACAAATCCTTGTATTGACAAGAATGATTGAAAGAAAAAAGGGTAAAACTAAACTAGATTTTCTCGGCAAAGAAAAGCACAACTAATTAATTGACACGTTTCTGATATATATATATATATATATATAGATAGATTAAGAAAAACACAAACTCAAGAAAAAAAAAGGCATACATAATGTTAACCCCATGAGCTGACAGTTCACTTAACTAAGTTTTGATGGTCATAAACAGACATTAAATTAAGATCTGATGTTTATTTGAACATAAGAAATATTTATAAAACCTTGCACATCCACATCATCATCATTCATGTCAAGAATCATCATGCACACTTCATTACCAACACTATTTTAAAATGTGCGGGTAGAGGTATAGAGGTATCTTGGATTAGTCAAGAATTTTCATGATTTTATTATGTACATTGCACATTATCATAACTCTAGTCTGCTAGCACATGATTAAGTTTTTGTTTTTAATATCAGTGCTCTAAATTTTATGTATCTTATAAATTAGAATAATTGATAAGTTTTTAAAAATATATACAGTAGTCATATGTTGCAAGTGATGAACATAAGGGTAAATCTATATTTTGCAAGCAATGCAAGAACATTGATACCATTAGCACTACCACTACAATCACCACTATCACCTCCAATCCACCCACACTATTATCACCATGAAAATTTGTAATAATTGAAATAATAATAATAATTATTATTATAATAATAATAAAATTTTTAATTTTAATAGTTTGATTCAAATGAGAACAAAACGTCTTGACTGTTTCTTCTTAAGTATTGGGTATCTCATTCGAACCATAAGGAGGAACTTGAGACCGTGAAAAAGAGCTCGAAGTGAGCAGAGGAAAAGGAAGAGGAAGAAGGAGAAGAAAAAGAAGGAGAAGGAAAACTCACCGGTGTCTAGAGCAAGGCACTTCATGTGTGTGCAGCGCGTGTGAGAGAAGTGGAGACGAGGAGTCGTTGCTACTCCAGTGTTGTCTTGCAAAAGGAGGGACGATGCCACGGCTCAGAAAGAAGGTAAGGTGTTGTCACATGTATCTATGCGTCCTTAATGAAGAAAGAGATTTCAAGGGCAAGATTTTTCTTGTGAGTAAGGCACCTCATACTACGCAGTGAACCAAACCTATTAGAAAGGATGCAGGCCGCGTACAAGTGCGATAAGGAAAGTTGGAGTGAAAGAAATCACATTGTGAGTGTCTTCGACAAAGGAAAAAGGAAGAACAGAGAGATGCCATTCAGGAAGAGGGTTTTGTGAAGGAGGCAGCTAAGCCAAGCCTAAAGTTAGGGATTTCTTATGTTATCTTTTAGGATAATTATTTGATTGAAAAGATATTAAACCTAAAATTCAATCTAAAAAAATTATGATAATTGAAATCAAGAAGCTGAATTGGAAGGATCTCCAAATTTCAAAATTAAGCAAGAGTTGGTCATTTAACCAGGTGAATGTATATCATTTCTATTTAAAATAACTATCTTTATCGAAATTTTTTGCGTTAGTAATAATGTTATGAATGAAATCAGGGATTAAAGAAATTTTTTATGCAAAAAATTATAGATTTGGATCGTGACTTATGCAAGAAGTGAGGATGCCACGGCTCAGAAAGAAGGTAAGGTGTTGTCAAATGTATCACTTATGCAAGAAGTGAGTACTCTTACGTTTAATCTATGGCAGCATTTTATTTTTTGTTAATAGTTGATCTGATAGTTATTGATACGTGTAAATCAACTAGATTAGTTCCTTTTGGATTTATATGTTCTTATTACTCTCATCGTCATAAAAGATTAAAAATAATTATTACCACACAATAATTTAAAGACGGGATAATTGCATACCTAGTACCAGAAACATTGCTATTTAAAAAAATCTAACACCTTGGTGAAATCTTTGAGCCAAAATCGATGTATTTACACGTGCTACGAATAAACCAATGAAATTTTGATAAAAATAAAAAGTACGAGTTGAAGTTTTATCATAAATTTTGATATTTGAGTGAGAATTTGAAAAATGGATGAAAGAGGGTGCTCAATTTGTAAATAGCAATTTTTCAGATGCTATGGATGTAATTGCCACTTTAAGGATATATATTTAATTAACTGAGATGATCCTATGAGTAATATGAACTATATATCACGCTCGCATGTGCATGTTAACTACGATAGAGTTCATCTGTTTATGTTAGAAGCGAGAGAAAGCCTCTTGATTTCAATAACTGACATTTATATCGATGCATCTTAACTGATAAAATTTTAGACGGTGCAACTGTGACAAATGTATATAAAATGATATAGATATAAAAAGGATATGACATAATAAAGGTTTTGAAATATATTAATAGGTTATATTCATAAATATAAATTTTCAAATGTTCTAATACTGAATTATTAAAATTATAACTGACATTTATTTTTTTTTATTATATTATTATAGTTTAAAAGTATGTGATATTCATTGCTGCTATGGCCCATTTTATTTTAAAATAACCACTAAATTTAATCAACGGGTTAGAAGGCAAGTATAAAAGAAGAGAATATCTATAGCAAACATGAACCACTTGACCTAAGGGGAATGTAATTGCATTACTTCAAATATCTTCTTAGTGGCTCTTTCAAATTATTTCCATTAGAAATTGTTAGTTTAGAAAATTTTTATTATCACTGTCAGAACATCTGTTCCAATCTTGGAAAATTTCAAGTCCTGAATCAAGTTGTGATAAAAGTTTGTAATAAATGAAAAAAATATAATAATAAATAAATAATTTTCAATTTTAATAGGTTGGTTCGAACAAAAAAAAACAAATTAACGATTTTTTCCTAAGTATCGAGCATCTCATTTAATCAAGAGCGTGAACGAGAGATGAAAGCAAGGCGAGGAAGAAGAATAATAATGAGAATAATTGTAATAAATGAAAACAAAAAGACTAATTAATTTAAAAAAAATATTTTACCTAATGTATGTGTCGGTTTGAACAAGCACCTCAGTGTTTTCAATTTACAGAGATAAGTGTCTCACCCAAGTGAGCTATCAGAACCAATGAAGGAACGAGAAAAATATAAGGAGAGGGAAAGCGAGAAGTAGAAAAATGGAAAGCATCTCAAGAGAAGTAATAAGCAAAAGGAATTTATTAGTGATTGTAGTGTGAGATAAGGAACCATCGTGCCCTAGCTAATTGAAGAAGAAAGGAATTTACCTAGTTGCTTGCGATGGATCTGTGTGGTCGTTGGTGTGTCAAAGCTGCTTGCAAGAGGCAACGCAAGAACGTGCACAAGAAGAGGTCCGGTGGGAAACTTGCTTCCAGAAAGCTTGATGCGAGTGTGATCATGCTGTGTGGGTCTACGGCAAGGGAAGACAAAGAAAGTGAAAACATCACTGCAGGTGAATAGGTTGTGCGGACATCTAAGAAGAGAAAGTAGTAGGAGGTGAAGGGAGACAACCACTTTTAAGAGAAGTGCTTATGGAAGAAGGGAGCGAGTCGCATGTTGGACAGCCACAACAATAAGGTGGAAGCTTCGCAAGCATGAACAATGAAGAAACCAAATCAAGATCTTTATAAGTAAGATATTATTTTTATTATAAAATATTTAATTATTTAATTAAATGTTCTTATGTTATAACAAGACTAATCTATAAGGATTGGCATCGTAATAGAGCAAGTCAAGTGGCACAGATGAAGGTAGGATGCTTCATGCGAGTGAAGCAGTCTGAATCGAGTCGATATATATAAGGTATAGGTTAAAGATTTTAATTCATTTTATTTTTTTAGATTAATTAATTACTTTACTTGAAAAAACTACTAAATGTTAATACTAAATTTTATTTAATCAGAAAATTTCAGATAAAGGATTATTAAAATTGAAGAATGAAGTTGTGATTTCATTTATGGTAAGTGTTCACTTGAAGGTTAAATATTGTCAAACAAATGTATTAAAATAAGTTTTATTATTTAATATTATTAGAAATTTGAAATGGAAAATATTCGAATCTGAAAATGAGAAGATTTACCAACTTAAATCATATTAGAGTTTCCTATTTAAGTTATGAGTGATTACTTTAAATTGATATTAATAATTATGAATAGTAAAGTTTATTGAAAGTTATCAGATTTTAGCAAGTTGAGGTCATGAGCTAAAAGGTGTAAGGAACTATTACATTGCAGGAAAACAAAAGAGTTAAATTGAGGAAAGTTCTATTCATGTCTTCTAATCCGAAGATATGTCAATACTTAAAATATTGTGTAATTGGGTAGTACTTCAAGCTTTTGAGAATAAATGTAGAATTAAGCTGATGTTATGTTTTGACTTTACAGACACAAAATATACAAGAAAATTAAATATTATGTGTCTTCAAGAATCATCAAATAAACTTGAATTGAGTAATTATGTTTCTGAATTATAGTAGTATTTCTTATTTCTAGAAGTATTTTATTTCAATGTTACATACTTCAAGTTATATATCATTGAAACATATATTAAAATGACACTTCATATTATTATTTATGAAAGATGCATATTAGCAATTATGTGTAAGGAGTTCTACTATAGTTTTCCTAGAAGAAATGTTATATAACTACATGATATATAGATTTCAATATATGTATATATATAAATATATATAAATTTATTGCATGACCTATATATTTAATAAGATTGTGTTTTACTCATTAGTAGATAGAGGTAAAGTGTTTCAAATAAAAAGAATGTATGATCTGAACAATTAAGTAAACTATATTTGAATGCTTCTGTGTGTGCTAGAGGAAGTTCGCCCCCTTATAGTACAAACAGTGTACCCCAATGTAACCGCACTCATAAATATTATACTATCGTCTTAGACAATTATAATGTTTATAAGGTAAACCGTTGTACCGATAGAATAATATGAGTCAGGACCAAGTAGGCACAATTTCACCTCAGGCAATCGCGTAAATTTAATTGTTTTATTTCAATATTTTATTATATAGTGGCTC